AACTCGTGCCCCGCCAGTCTCTCCAGCATCTGATTAATGAATGGTAGCGGGAAGTGGTCCTTCCGAGTAGCGTCGTTGAGACGCCGGTAATCAATGCAGACACGGTACCCAGTCACCGTGCGCATCGGGATCAGCTCATTCTTCTCGTTAGGCACCACAGTCATCCCACCCTTTTTGGGTACCACCTGGGTGGGGCTGACCCACTCGCTGTCAGAAATGGCGAAGATGATCCCCGAGTCCAGCAGCTTCACGATCTCTGCCCGAACCACAGCCTCCAGGTTCGGTGTCAGTCTTCTCTGCGGCTGTCTCACTGGCCGCATCTCATCCTCCATCAGTATCCGGTGGGAGCAGAAAGAAGGGCTGATCCCCCGGATGTCTGTGATCTTCCATGCGAGAGCTCGCTCGTACCACTTTAGCAAGGTCACCAGTCTGGTCTTCTGCTCGGCTGTGAGGGTCGAGCTGATGATGACTGGTAGCTTATTCCCCTCCCGGAGAAATGCATACTCCAAATGAGGAGGGAGGGGCTTAAGCTCCAGCTCTGGTGGTTCCTCCAAGGAAGTAGCAATGCGGGTGGAGGATGAGATCGGTTTGAACAGCCTGTCGCTCTCCAAGAAGGGGCCACTCTCCAACTCGGCCAACTGCTCCGCCAGCTGCGGCTCCTGCAATGCCTGCTCACCTAGCAAAATACAACGCTCAAGAACATCGTCAGTACCCGCACTCGTTATAGCGAGTGCGGTCTCAAAATCAGCAAGCATATCACGGTAATCTATGTCATCATGCAAATGAGGGTGTTTCCCATTCTCCAACACAGAAAAGGTAGCATGTTCATCACCAGCACGCAGAATCAATTTACCACTATGCACATCAATAAGCGCCTTGGCGGTGGCGAGAAACGGTCTACCTAAAATCAAAGGTACATCCACATCCTCATTTATATCCAAAATAACAAAGTCAACAGGATATGTGAATGCACCCACATTAACAAGCAAGTCCTCAATGATACCCCTAGGATGCACGATAGAACGATCAGCTAGCTGAATGCTCATCCTAGTAGGGCTAAGTTCACCTAGGTCTAGCTTTTTATACAACTTATATGGCATGACATTTATGCTAGCGCCTAGGTCCGCCAAGGACTTGCCTACATGCATGCTGCCAATAGTAAGAGGGATAGTAAAACTTCCTGGATCCTTGCGCTTTTCGGGCAGCTTGTTCTGCAGGATAGCAGAACACTCCTCGCTCAGCAACACTGTCGAGAGATCCCCAAGTTTCTTCTTGTTGGTGAGGAGATCTTTCATGAACTTGGCATACTTGGGCATCTTTGACAGTGCCTCCACGAACGGTATGTTGATGTTGAGCTGCTTCAACATTGCCATAAACTTGGCAAACTCAGTCTCCAGCTTGTCTTTGTGTAGGCGAGTGGGGAAGGGAAGCTGGGGTACATGCTCCTTAACCACTGGTTGTGGCTTGGGAGCAGGGGCTTCCTTCTCCACCCGCACTACTGCATCGTCGGCTGGAAGTGCTGAAGCAGGTAGTGGTTCCTCCTGTCTGGCCGGGACAGGATCAGCAGATATGGTCTTACCGCTCTTGGTAAAAATGGCATCCAGGTTCGTAGTGGCAGGCAGAGTCCCCGGTGCCCTGGTAGTGTTTTGGCGGGCCAAAATACCCACCTGGTGCAGCAGATCTTGAAAAATGGCACCCTGGTTCCGCTGACCTGCCTCTAGTGACGTGATGGCAGCCTGAGTGCTAGTCATTAATGAAGCTAGAATATTTTCCAGCTTTGTCATCCGGTCATCTGGGGCTGGAGCTGCTGCTGGCTCGGCAAACTGGCGCTGGGGCTGCTGGAATGGTTGCCCCTGCCTAGGCTGGTAGGGCTGCTGCTGTGGGGCTGGCCCCTGTCGAGCCTGGAAGGGCTGCCTCTGCTGAAAACCACCTGCTGGTGCTGGGAAACCAGGTGGTTTAGTGGTGTTGCTGCTCCAGGCGAAATTGGGATGCTGGCGCCACCCCTCATTATATGTGTTGTTGTACGGGTCGAGGCGCCGAGCATTGGCGATGAAGTTCAACTGCTCTTGGGGAGTGGTAGACTCCCTCATAGCCTGGCAGTCCTCCACTAGGTGATTGGAGCTCTCGCACCACTGACATTGAGCTACTGGAGGTGTAGCCAAACCTCTGCCCGGAATAAGACTGTTGGGCTGCTTCAATGTCTGCACTAGCTCAGCTACCTGCTGCTCGAGCCCGGATCTGGTCTCCATGGCGTGCACACCACGGTCCCGGGACTGTCTGCCTCGCTGCTCTGTCCCCAGGAATGATCTCTGGCAGCCAAAGTATTAATCATCTGGTTCAGTTCTGGTGGAGTCTTAGTAAGAACATCCCCTCCTGGGCATAGAGACTCAATCACCCTCTGGCTGTCTGGAGAGAGAGCACTGTAGAAGTTCCCCACTGTGAATGCATCAATGAAGCCATGATGGGGACACTGCCAGAAATATCCCATGTACCGCTCCCAAGCATCACGAAGTGACTCATCTGGCTCTTGGCGGAAGTGAGTGATCTCCCGCTGGATCTCTGTAGTCTTCGATGCCGGATAGTACCTGTGCACGAATTTGTCAGCCAGATCGTCCCAAGAGGTGATGGACAATGGGGGATGGGTCTCCAACCACCTCTTAGCATTCCCCGCCAGAGAATGGGGGAAGAGGTGAAGGCGGATTGCATCATCAGGGACACCATTCAGCTTGAACCCGTTCGTCAGCTGCAGAAAACGGGAAAGATGCACCCTGGCCTCCTCATCCTTCAAGCCATGGAACTGGATAGAGGATGTAATGAGCTGAATCCAGCATGGCTTGATCTCGAAGTTGTTTGCTGGAATAGGCGGGTAGAGGATGACCGGGCGGATGCCAGCAATCCGAGGCGTGTAGTAGTACTCCAAGGTGGGACCCGACGGCGGTGGATGATGAACCCCATGATCTGGGGTATGGGGTTGTTCCCCAGGACCTGATTCACCGGGGGAACCTGCTGCGGATTCCCCTGGTGTTGATTGTAGTCTCCGTCCATCCCGTACTCATTTTCAGAATCGCTAATCAGGTGGCCGTCTTTGCGCTCTTCCGTAGCCAGTCTAGCTCGCTGTTGTCTCCTGAGCTGGCGACAGGTGCGATCAATCTCTGGATTCAACGGCAGTAAACCTCCTGACTGGCTACGGGTCATGCACTACCTGCACACACTCAATCAAGCAAACCCGTGAAGGCACAAGTGGGACAAAGCAAACAAAGCAAAAAGAAAAGCTAAATTAACAGAAATCACTTTTCTTCAACAACCTAGCCGTCCCCGGCAACGGCGCCAAAAACTTGACTCACTTCTACTGTCACTCTAGGAATTGGCCAAGTGTAACCACTTCCTAAAGTGTAGTATAGCGGGTTTAGGTTTAATTATCAATCCGGGTCCTAGATTTGATGACTACTCGGTGAATTCTTGTTGTCTAGCAATGAAACCTTAATGCAAGTCTAAACTAACAAACTAAAAAAGCAAGTAAACTGTTGTATTCAGGTTAAGAGAGGTCACCCGGATATGGTTCCCCCTAGACTGCAGTTAAGCCGGATTGTAATTACCAAGTTCAGTTTCTATGATAGTTATACTGCGGAAGGTTCTTAAACAGCCTGAAGGCTCGACTAAAGGTCTTCAGACCCTCTCAATCTAAGTCTCTAGCGGGCGACTAACCTCCACCGGAGTAAACAGATTGAGGCCTTAACAAACAAAACCTCCACTACCGAAGTGAATTCGGTACAGAATAGTGAGTTGACTCCTCGACTAAAGTCACCAACTCCCTACCTTCAATCAAGGATGCTCTATCAACCTAGACAGATATTCTCATTCTAGGTTAAAGCAGAAACAACAGGAATTTGATCAGGATTCATGCCATTCAATCAATCACCTCAATTGAATATAATCAAATCATAGAATCAGTATTTGGGTTCATACAATCAAAACCTAACATACAAATCTAGGGTTCTCCATACCCAGATGAATGGGAGAACTACTCCATGGAGAAAGAAGCAAAAGCAGAATCAGACGCGGAATTCATATTGTGAAGGATGGATTCCTGCTCCTGGACGTTGATCGGCACTTCTCCAAGCTCAAACTGGCCTCCAATGGTGATGAAGATCAAGCTAGGGCACTTGAGACTCTTGTTCGTCGCTTTCTCTCTCTTGGAATCGTTCTGTCTCTCTAAAACTCGAATCCCCTTCTCTTTGGCTGAAAATCTGCTTAAAAGGGGATCAGTGGCCAAAGCACGGTCGAGGGCACGGCCGTGTAATGCCTCAGCCCGCCCGTGCTTTGGCTAGGGTTAATTACACGGCTAGTGCAAAGGGGGAAACACGGGCGTGTTTTGGAAAGGACACGGCCGTGCTTTCAGCCCGTGTTTTTAGCCAATATTTGCCACACTCGAATTTGCTCTCGGCAGTAAAAGCACGGCCACAGAACACGGCCGTGTTCTATTTTAGGTCTGCCCGTGTTTTGGCTCCAGCTCGACGAAATGACTTCCGAATGCCCCGAAACTCGTGCTTAGCCTTTCCTTTGACGCTTGGGACCTGAAATATGACAAAATAGCACAACCCGGCGTAAAATAGGCCAAAATACACGACTGTGCCTCTCAAACGGATAAGAACTAGGGGCGCAAATATGTGCAATTACGTCGTTATCAGGGACATAACCACGATGAAGGAGACAGAAGGATGGTCCCATGGTGACGGAATTAGGGATTTGGGCGGCTAAAACTCCTCTCTTCCTTCGGGTTTAGGCTTTTGGTTTTATATATATATATATGGTGCCTTTTATGGTACCCCGGGTAAAATCCGGGGTACCGCATACCTTGAGTATGAAAACACTATCTAGATCTCGAATTAGCAGGATTTTTGGGCATGATACTATACCCTAACCCTTAATGAGTGAACCCTAGGTCCTATTATCTAAATCGTAAACTATAAACCCTAAGATGGTGCATTGATTTTTCCCTCTATATTTGGACGAATCATAACCGTCAATTATTGTTTCTAATTAAATTGATCTTGGGGTAGAAGATTTAGAGAATTAAGACCTAGATTTTGATCTTTAAGGGTTAGAGTATAGTATCATGTCCGAAACATCAGTCAATTCAAGTTCTGGATATCATTTTCTTACTCAAGGTATGCGGTACCCCAGATTTCACCCTGGGTACCGTAGAACTCCCCATATATATATTAATTACTAATAATAATATAATAAATTATTATTACTAATTCACGGTTGCAACCTTCGTACGTAACCGTTAACCCAACCGTTCACGTATTTTTGGTCGAACCTAAACCCAAAATCAGGGTGTTACAAATTGCAACTCTCTCCATTTACTTAAAACAGCAGCAACGACATTAGTAACATTCCCATGAGCTTGGACTTAACATTTGTTGTTAACCTCCAATGAGATTGGCTTTAGTTCAACTTCACTTTCTTTTATCTACTTCTTGGCTAGGCATGCTCAACTGTTTTCATTTCCGGTTTCTTCACTATACTCTCTAGACTTGTCCTCTCAAGTCTCTCCTTCTATGTCATTTGCCAACAAGCGAGAGTTGCACCTCAAAGTGCTATTTGCAAACTCTCAAATTGTTACTTATTGCATGACATAGCAACCGAGTAGTTCTAAACTAGTCATTCGCCCACCGAATAGGACAAGTCACTCTGCTGCCTATTCATCGAATAACATTGAACCCAAACCTGCTTCACTCATAGGTTAAACTACCTACTTCACACATTGACACCCAACCTGTTTCATTCACAGGTTACACCACCTACTTCACTCGTACGTATGTCTAGTTGACATTTCCTTAAACAGTTCCCCGAGCATCCTTGCACAACCATGGATTCCCATAATCCAATCATCATTCCTCATCTCATCTTGATAGACCGTCATTTACACATGTTTTTACCCCCATTCTTACACCGTTTGAGGTGTTGATTCTCGTGTTTTAGGCCGATTTCACGCTAGGTTGTGCTTGTTTGTGATGTTTCAGGTCCTAGTACGTGAATGAAGGCTTAGGAGCGAGTCTGGGGTCGATTGGACGAAGAACGGACGAATGGCGAGGTTTTTGGGGAGCTGCACGGGCAGACCAGGGAGGCTGCACGGCCGTGCACGTGAGCAATATGGCCGTGCGCCTTATGGCGAGGACACGCACGGGCAACCCCTGAAGCTCGCACGGGGATGCAAGAAGATCTCATGAAAGAAATTGCTTGGCAACTTGCTCTCCAATCCGTGCTAGAAGAAGAAGAGCAAGAAAGGGTGCAGAAAGAAGTTGTGGAGGATGACGAAAGTGAAGCAGGAGGAGTTCTTGATCATTTCCCAGGGGTGATACCACACGAACAAGTAAGGGAGGTTGAAGAAGCAATTGGCGTCCAGGCTGAGGACGGAGTTAAGGTGGAAGAGGCCTGCACCGGCCATGAGTTACATGTGATATCTCCACCAAACTTTGAGGAACTGCTTGGCAAGGACCCATTTGCAGTGTCTCTTTGCCAGACCAAGGCCACCTCGACATCGGTCCCTCTTGGTGGACGCGATGGTGGCCAATCGATGTTGTCATATCTGGTTTGGGGCAATGAGACGAGAGAAGAGAAGAAGAGGTCTCGAGGGTGGAGACTTCATCTGCATCAAGTACATGAGCCTTCATCACCTGCCACACCACATGCTCGTGACTTGAGACTCCACCTCATCGACGAGAACCTCAACTTCAAGGAGATTCTAGCATGGACCGAAATTTAGGAGCCATCGTCCGGCTCACGACGTGAAAGAAGCGCTTGTTGGGAGGCAACCCAACCAGTCGGTTTGCATTTCTTTCTCTATTTCTCTTCGGTTGAGTCAGTTTTGTTCTTTGATTTCAGAGTCAATAATTCAACCTTTGTGAGATTTTGTGTGGTGTTTGTGTTTCGACTACTTTGTCCTCCTGGAATGCACCGCCTTCCCCGTCCACAATCATTCACTGTTGATATGATAACTTCGTTCTACCCTCCTTATCTTTCCTCCATTGAGGACAATGTCGTGCTTAAGTGTGGGGGGATGTTCGATTATGTATGCGGGTGAATGTTTGGCTGTTTGTGTGCTTGGAGCCTAGTCCACTGTCCAAATTTTTAAATTTGAGGGCTCCAAGTACGTGTTTCCTTGCAATTGCCTGCTCAGTATGCTTTGAATTGACAGTCTTTATAGTAATATGCAACCTAGGGAGGTAGTGTAGCACTATGGAGGATGTTGATGCATTTAAGAAGTCTCGTTTCTTCTTCATATTGTGTTGGTTGATTGAGTGAATTAGTGATCTTAGGACCCTTGAATTGTGTGGTGTTGTGGATTCTCTGCCTGTCATGGACTCTTGTATCATGTTTTGAGTTTAACAGGTGCTCGAAAATGTGCTTGAAAATAAACGTCTCCCGTGCGAATAGGGCGAAAGTGTGTAAGGGGAGACGGGAATTCGTTCCCAATTTCCATCTACTACCTCCAGCCCCCTTACATGTCTTTCCCCCGCACGAGGCTCGAGACATCCGCTCCTGGCATGGCCGGTAAGAGCAGGTTGGGACCCTTGAAAAGAAAAAAAAAAGAGAAAAGAAAAATAACAGAAAACAAGCAAAATAGAAAAAAAGGGGGTTCCAACCATCTTCAAGAATAAAATAGAGCACCTTGAAAAATGTGAGTCCATGATCTTTTGTTTTTGAGAATCTCTTCATCCACAATTCATTTGTCCTCTGTTCACTATTTGCCGTGATGCCGACTCGCCGAATAAGTTATGAGATGACTTGTGCGTCGGTTGACCTCGTAAGTTGCTAAATGATCTAGGAAGTCCTCTACCTACGATCTGGGTTGTTTGTTGCTATAGAGGTCTGGAGAGTTGCATTGGTTTGAGTTAGGTTTGCTTGGGGACAAGCAAACGGTTAAGTGTGGGGGAGTTTGATAGACCGTCATTTACACATGTTTTTACCCCCATTCTTACACCGTTTGAGGTGTTGATTCTCGTGTTTTAGGCCGATTTCACGCTAGGTTGTGCTTGTTTGTGATGTTTCAGGTCCTAGTACGTGAATGAAGGCTTAGGAGCGAGTCTGGGGTCGATTGGACGAAGAAAGGACGAATGGCGAGGTTTTTGGGGAGCTGCACGGGCAGACCAGGGAGGCTGCACGGCCGTGCACGTGAGCAATATGGCCGTGCGCCTTATGCCGAGGACACGCACGGGCAACCCCTGAAGCTCGCACGGCCGTGCACCCTGGCCGTGCGAGAGGGCTGAAGTTCGACTAAATGACACGCTGCGTTTTGAGTTGCACGGCCAGAATGGTGATATGCACGGCCGTGCACCCTGGCCGTGCGAGTCGGGATTTCCTGGTTTTAAGCCAAATTCCGAACCAAAGAGGGGAGAGAGCTGGGTTTTGGATCCCAAACACCCAAGGGACGAACCAAAGAGAGAGAGGGCGATTTGAGGGCATTCTTGGAGTGGAGTTGGGGGATTTCTTCGCCTTGGAAGCTCGAGGAACAAGCCCGGACTTGAAGACTGATCATCTGAAGATTCTTACTGCAGTCTCTCTCTTCTCTATGGAGTAACTTCCCTTCACTTAGGTTTTGAGGAACCCTAGATATGTTTGTTTGATTGGATGATTGTATGAGTACTCTGACTGGATAATCTTGAGTTCATATTCAATCTATGCATGTTTTCATGATTCAATTCTGCTTTAGTCGAGATTATTGATTCTGCTTTGATCCTATGAGAGGGAATACCTGATTAGGTCAATAGAGCACCATAGATTGATAGTAGTGGATCGATTGCTTTAGTCGAGGGTTGATTCACTGCTTTGTATCGATTGAGAACCCCTTTCGATAGAGGGAGTCTAGTTCAGAACGCCTTGATCAGTTGTTCTAGAGAAGGATACGTCCCTCTAGGCAATTGACTCAAGAGGGCCTTGTTCCTTTAGTCGAGACTCAAGGTTTAGTCAAGGATTCTCCGCATTGTGAATGAAAGTGAAACAGGTTAGAGATCATCAATCGTTAATCTGGCTAGTGGCTAGGGGGAATCATACCTAAGTGAGTTCCCAACCTGTAATTAGATTAACTTTAACTGTAGTTTGCTAGAGTAGTTTTAGTTCTTTCATCTTAATCTGATTTGCTAAATAATAAACTGAAGCTGAGTAATAGTAACTCTAGAGACCCGTGGATTCGATATTTATCACTTGAGCCACTATACTGCAGTCCCTTTCATTGTTTACACTTGGCCTTTGTTAGGTGTTGTGTTTTAGCGAGTCACATCTACTTCTCGAAATTCTATAGTTGAACTAATGCTACAATTCCACCCACAACCTTCATAATATACTTTGACAACATATAAAGAAAACGTACTAACCATTCTGTGAAGCTGCTGCCCATTCTCTCATTACTTCCTTTACTGACTCCTTTGTGAAATCCTCATCACATTCTTCCTTTGTTAGCTGGGTCTCTTCTCTTCCATCTGATAAATCTAGCTCCTTTCCACTAGAACTGCACCTCTAACTCCAAGCCCCAGAACATAAACTTCACAGCTGATTCTCGGCATCCTTCAATTCATCCTCCTCTGAACTAAAGCATATTCAAACAAGCTTCAGTTCACTTAGCTGGCATGTTACTGCTCTGCCACAGTCGCAACAACTTCCTCAACATATGCTTATATGACCCCACTGATTGGATGACCGCTCCATCCAACCTAATAATATACTCTGACAATTGCAGCAACAAGAAACACCTTTGATCTGATTACAACCCACATAGCTGGCCACTGCACAGACTTCTCCTTTACCACAAACAAGCACCCAGAACCATCCCTCCTAGAGCAAGACAGTCTTCTCACTCGGATGATGAACCCCATGCGTCTTATATATGAGATAAAAGTGTAGATGATTTAGAGTCGAACCTCATTTTGGCAGGCTCAAACACAACGTCGAACAACTTCAATGACTGCTTCATAAATCCATCAACTTGAGAAAGGAAGCCTTCCATGGCCTTTGATTGCGAAACCGACTTCCCGACGGAAATCCCAAGCTTCCCGACATAGTACTCTTGCCAGCTGTCTTTTAATAGTCTGGATTCAACAACCTCCTCTTCTCTCCTTCCAATATGTGGACTCCATGTCTTGATGTCTGCTACAATCAATTACGCCCTCAATATTTCCAGCAACATCAACTGTTTCGATGCTCATTAGCTCGCAACTTCTTCAATCGACTCCAAATGAGGTGGAGGAGCGACGGGGCGTTGCTGATAATTCTTCAGCTGGTACAACAATCTCCGAAGAGGAACTAGGAAGCTACGAGGATGGGGTGGAGCTAGAATCTTCCGCTAGAGATGGCTCTAACGCTGGTTACGGCCGGTTACTTTTCCCATTCCAATTTCTAGAAGAAAACTTCGTCGTGGTCCTCTAAGTCCTTCCGATTTCGAGCTCTACATATCATCTTCATTCAAGACCACTGGTTGCTCTTTAAAATTCACCACACCGAAACTCAAGATCTCCCCCTCCGAGCATAATGTGCGTTTGTATCGCTGCAACCGTTCTCTATGTGCACTGCAGCTTCTTGAACCAAAGCCTCTGTGATGCTTGAATTCATCTTCTCACGAATCTCTCTCCACCGAAACCAAGTTTTAATCCTCTCAAAGCAACCAACCAGATCTCAAACCTAGTAGCGCTTATTGATAGAAGCACAATTGTCATCGTAGCATATTTGTTTCGCAACATCCATCTCATCAGACTGAACATCCCATTAGAATCTCCACCCAATCAAGAATCCAATTCCTCCACGTCCTGGTTCTAGCTGCAGAATCACGAGTTCAGAGGCAGAGTCGTCATCAATCGAGTTTGGAATCGATTGTCTCCATTTTCTCACCGGACTTCGCTTGTGTAGGTCTACCTGGCTTTAGCTATTGGCTGCGACTTGCAAGCCAATACGTGTCTTCTCTGCCACCGCTAGCATCACTTATCTCTCTCTCTCTCTCTCTTTTCCTCCTCACACACATAGGCGGGTGGTGGCCACAGGTGACCACCGCCACCGGAGACAGAAAACACTTTAGATTTTCCGAGGCTCTGATACCACCATGTGAACATAATAGAAGGGAAACTTGATTATATTATCACAGAACAAAGAAACATTTTTAAATACATCAAGCTTAACTATTGTAGCTAAAAAATAGCTACCACTCTCCCTAATACTCATCCTATCAAACGCAAACCAAGGAACTGCTAACAACTACAGTCCTTTAAACTAGGGCCAATACTATGGTGCCGCGGTAAAAAGTGCGACACCAATGACGCATATTTTGATTGGGCCACATGGATATGAGGTGGCATGGAATTGGGTAGCACAAATCCAATTTAAACCTATTGACCCGCTGGACAGCTCGAGACGGAACTGAATTTCCAGTCAGCCGTTTGGCAATTTCTTATTAATTTAAAATTTTCCATTTATTCAAAATTCATTTATTTTTTACCAAAAAAAATCATTTATTTCTCTACTGCTTTTATTTTCTTCCGTAACAAAATAGCGAAGGAAACCGAGGGGCGTCTTCCTCGACCGGGGCTCCGTCTGACTGCAAACACTGAACAGAAAACTGCTCCGGGGAGCTTCACCATCGTCGATTCGGAATCTCTCTATTCAAACAAAACGAAGAATCCCTGGTGCCAAGCAGTCCTTTCATCCTTTGTCTTCGTCGAAGTGCTCTGTCGACACAGACGATCGAAAGCCGAAGCAAGTTTGAACAGTCGTCCCTTCGTTCTGCACCCTCCTGTTGAAATCTTCGAAACTTGAGTGTCTAGTGACTTTGCCTAACGAATCCGAACGCTCCTAGTTATTCGATGCATTTGTGTTTTGGGGTACTAGAACAATGATTCGATTCGTTTTGTTGCCGAATTTGGCTAAGTTTCATTTTGCCTCTGAACTGTAATGTCATGGATTCTGCAATGGAGCCTTGTTTTGCAATATTTTTTGCTTTCCTTGTCTTAACCGGTCAGCAGGGAATAGCTTGTTGTGTCCCTGTTCTGCTTATGTGCTGTTCTTTCCTCCTTTATCTTCTGTTGGCTAACAACTTCTCAGTTTTGCCTGTATGCTATTCCCCTTTCTGGTTGTGTTTTTCACATTCTGATTCCAGTACCTGATAATGTTGTTTGGTTTGGTTTTGGTAATTGGTCTTTCAATCTTCATTAGTGAAATTGCAGCAAGTCATTGATCCATAAGAACTGAATTTCGAGGCTTGTTTGAACAGAAAAGCACTAGATTATTGTATCTTATTTCCCTACATAATTCAAAACCCAATATATTCTGGTTTATAGATCTCTATCATTGCCTTCATGAGAATGTACCCTAAGAAAGGAGTTCAGATTGTTAGCTTAGTATTAGTGATTAATGTGATGCATTTTGTATCATCTTATATCATTCGATACATAACCATTTTGTGGGTTTGAAAGTTACAAGCAATGCTGTCAAGTTGGTGCTGATAGGTGAGCATAACCTCAAAAGTCCACAACTTTCAGTTCATTGACCAAGTTTCGAGAGAGTTACTCCATATTCCAAAGAATCAGAAGTCAGCCTAGGATGATGATGGTGATGATAAACAGCCAGTAAAGCTTTTACTTGCAGGATCGCGGTTAAGTCCATGCCTCTTCAGTGTCCTGATACAGTCTTTGTTGAGAGAGAACTTTTTGCTCCCAAGTTGAGAGAAAGAGGCCCATTTATAGGTTCCAGTCTTGTGCGGATCTTCAACACTATTATGAAAATACCAGTATTCAACGGCATTAGTTATGGTTAGTGAAAGTGAAAAGGTTCAGTAGTGTCATCAGTCATGTAAGCTTAAAAAAATATCTACATAGTCTTAGGTTTATTCACAAGTTAGACCCTTTCACAATTCACTGGTCCACCAAACCACCTCACTTGTGAATGCTAGTACAAAAGCAGCATGTTTTGGAAGGTACAAGACCGAGAAATGAGCACGTAATCATATACATACGAGATGAGTTCCAATTGGTCCCTGGCTTTGGGTTTAGATAGTGAAACTAAAATAGACCTCAATAACAGTCTTGGAACCAAATAAATGTTGCATTCTCCTTCCAATCTTGGGCGAAACTACAAGGATCACAAAAGCAAATGACCAAGTGGTATTGGTTACCAACCAACAACGGAAACCACAAAACTCAAACTACAGTTCGAAGTCATTTGGCACTTAGCAGCAAACATCAGGGTGGTTTAGTTCACAAGTAGACAACTAGAAATGCACAATCAATCACTTCCCAAGAAGATTACTAACTGCTACAATTACACGCAACACCGAATGAAAGGAGAAGGTCAATTCTTTTTGCTTTGGCTTGGGTTTGGTACGGTAACGGTGGAGCAGTCCGTTGGAGGCAGAGAGCAGCCGGAACAAGGTAGAAGGAGAATGATTTTAGTGAATCGACAGCGGGGAAGTTCGCCTGTACTGCTTACCACAGTACGCTGGAGCAGGAGAGTGAGGAAGACGACTGATTTCTCTGGGCTTCGGTTTTCCTTCCTTCTCTCTCTTTTTTTTTTCTAGAAAAATATATCAAGACAACAAACGAATTCAAAACTAATTAATGGAAAATAATACAACTCAAAAAGGATCACAGAAGGGAAGACAGAATCTAAAGCCACCGTCACTTGGCCGAATCGTAATTCGGCCAGTTTAGGACCACCGGGTTTGGGCTGAGATTTAATGAAACTAATCACTGCCACGTCATAGCCACATGGTCCAATCAGAAATTGCGTCACCGGTACCGCACTTTTAATGACGGCATCGTAGCATTGGCCTTAAACTAGCCACTACTTCTAATAGACAACTAACCCACGAGTTCTACTAACTTCTAACTGGGCTTGTTATTGGCTCAAACTAATAAGACACATTCCCAGCCCAAAGCCAATGTCTCAACCCAACTTTTTGGTCCAACATATTTAGTATATTTTGAGCCTTACAAATCCTTCTCTTAAATTCACAAATGCGCATGGTTGTGTCACAACTGAATTGGAACTAACCTCCTGCAATTATTCAATCATACTTTAAATTTTACTTTAGCACCTTTACTACCTAGGGAAAATACATGATTATATAATCTCAACAACTTATTTTTGAAAGGGTCAATCTCAGTTTTTTATGTACACTAATGTCCCATGTGAATCGAAACTAATTCATTGACTTATGTTTCATGACATTTTAGTCAATATGCAATCCCAACTGATATCTTATTTGACAACTCAAAAGAGACACTGGACTATCCAATGTCGCATTTCAAGGAAGTGACTGGCAATCAATCACAACACTGATGTTGTTCTTCACCTCGATATGATAGTTATTGACTCAAAGGTAAAAAAAAACATGAGTAATTATACATTATAAATGATGGCTGATAGATTAGGAAATGTTGAGATTCATTCCATTTGATGTTATGTTTATCTAACGCTCCCATTTGGCCTCCCCATCAGTATTAGTTTACGCCACAATTTCAATATATTAATTCAATGGTTAAATTTTTTGGCCTAACCACTCATGATTTTTGTTCTTCTTTACAATCATAGATTCAGGATCCACCTCCAAGTTGCGGACAAAACAACTGAAGCTGACTTTGTTATTATGGATGAAGTTGCCGATCAATTTTTTGGCATAAATGCTAAAAAACTATTCCAAGACAATGAACAAAGGAGAGGACCACCACCGGCTCATCTCCTAAAAAATTGAAGGAATGACGTTGAAGTTCTTCATCAAGCTCACTGATTACAACATCGGTAACCCTACAAGTGAATACACAATTATCAAGATAGGGAAGGATGTGAAAAACAACAATTCAAATGATCTGCCTGAATTGATCGAGGTATGTCCAACTAACGTCGAATTGTCATTTACCAGACTTCATTATTATCTACTATATTTGGAGTTTCTTCCGACCATGCACTCTCTAATTATTGAAGCATAATTACCATGCACTTTAAATATTTGGACATTGATTTTGCAATGCATTTTATCGGGCCGACTGTTATATATATTAGTGGAAGTTCCCTTCATTCATATAACTACACACACAATTGCAAGAGGAAAAAATTGAGCCTGCTAATGGTGGACATGCTGAACCCGCCGGCGTGGATGAGAAGAAGCACAATATTGCTCATGAGGTAGATTAAAATACTGATCGTGTGGTGACTGCACAAATCCATAATACTGTTCAAATTTTGGGGCAAGTAAATTCTACACCAATGATATAATTTATTTTCACTTGCACAAAAGTTAGAACACATAATTTTTTGGCTAAATTTAATGCAGAAAAATATGGAAGAAACTCCTAAAATGCAAGAGAAGGAGGCGGCAACATTTAATAGAGAACAATGTGACACCAACGACGACAAACCAACTACAATGGATGGATGTATTGATGTTGTCGATGTCGTAGGAACTGAAAACAAGCAGCAAAATAGAAAACGTGGAGACGATAAGGAGTAAATAGAATAATTATTTCAAAATAATTTTAGAAGTCGGTTCCCTGTCATGGGGGTTGTCTTTCATTTTTTGTATGAGGATTTTACTCAATCAGTCGGCCAGGATGTCGGTGACAGTATTTTATTCTCTTTTAATATTTATGGTCAGTCAGGATGTCGGTTGAACTATTTAAATCTCTTTTTATATATATGGTTGAACTATTCTCATTTGTGTACTTCGTTTACTTTTGGAACGAAGTCTTAAATTAAGCATCATTATTTCTTTGTTATGCATGGGGGTACGTTCTGATGGGGGAGCGATCCATATGATTCTTATAATGCCATGTCTAATAAACTTCTGCCATTTTGAGAATGGATCATCATTATATGCGCTTCTTTATTCTCATTAGAGATGACATGCAAAGAATTTCTTTGGGGCCAAATGTCATTTGCTACTTCTACAAGTGTCCATAAAGCTAGCTACATGGGTCATATGTTGTGAAATCAAGGTTATATGTCAAATGTTGTCACCAGCAACTTAGACACAGCAATTAATTTTCCAAAATGACCATTTAGCTTACTCAGGACAAGAAGTAGGTATTCAACCATGTATTAGGTGTCTCATTTCTTAATTAATTGTTGCAATGAGTGAAAGCCAGGGGTACTTGGACCTGTTTCGGAGTGGTGATCATTGCTCGTAGAGGTCTAGTTCGTCTACGTACGCTCCTGAAGAACATCTAGTTTCACCTGTACTGAAAGGGTTCTGCATTTCGGTCGACAATGTGCTATTTGGTATGGGTCTCTTGCTGCGATAGAATCTCATGTAGGAAATGAACTCAGGTTGTTGCAGACTTGCTTAACTAGCCAGCACAAGGAAGTCTCCTCACATGAACGCAGGGAAATGAACCCAGGTTGAAGATAACCATAACGAAGCGCCTTCTGAATTATGGCTTCGGTTTATGAGTGTTGTTTGATAAGTGTCTCATGTTAGTGTAGACTGTTAAGAGTGTTTGGCTTTCACTGGTTTCGCAGAACCAATGTTAAACTGGTTTGGCTTGTTAATTCATGTACATTTTGTTCATGGAACAAAAATTCAAATAACTTGTGTTTAACCATAGTGCCAACTTAGATACGAAGCCCTGCTTGTGCGGATTTACCAGCTCTCGTTAAAGGGATTGAAAGCTGGATTTCGACGCGAGGAAAACATAGAAAATCACCAAAAGAAGTAATGGGACGAGTTCACACTCGTTCGATGTTAGACGAAACATGTGCATATCATAAGCACAATGCTAGAAGGTGGATAAAGCGTGGAGGATTTATTACAACAGATGGATGCCACATTCTACTGTCCTTCAGAACGCAAGTACACCTGACACTGATGCCCGAAGAGTCAGGAGCGAACATCACTATGCTTTGTTGGCAGGACTTACACTTCCAGCTCTGGAGTTTCTGAACCCAATGGCTTAAACAGAGATTCCACTTCATTATGATCAACTTCTTCCAGGCTTGGTGGCTCCCATTTGGGGTTCTGCAATCAGTTCGGACCCATTCGCAACTGATGAGTGGGTATATTGCAGTGGTTTTAAAGATGCAAGGGCAAGAAACCGGATAATATTAACTCAAATATCATAAGCAATGTGGCATACTAACCTGATCTTTGTCCACCAATACTGCTCTGACACCTTCAGCGAAATCATTGCGCAGAGAAGACCTCAAGGCAATGCGATACTCGGTTCTCATTACTCCAGTTAGCTGGATCCACGAGATCAAAGATATCAGAGTGTTGCAGCCATACAACATTACCAAGCTCAATTCAGCGGATCAAACAAGGAGAAAAGGAGCTCACTGTTGATAATTCATTGGAGGTTCTTCCATAGGCAGATGCAACTTTGGAGAAGTAGCTTTGTGTCAGGCAAAGAGAAAATGGAGCACCCTTTTCAAGACCCTGAAGAGCTTCGGTGGCCCACTCTGCCACTGACAGAAGCAATGTTGAAATCAGTCTAAAAAAACTTGCAGCAGAAGAGGGAAACACAGACATTTATCGGGACACAAGGATGAACAAGGTAACCTTTAGTATCGGCACTCTGTTTATGCTGTTTCAGCTCCTCAATAATCTCCTTTAACGACTTATGTCCACCAAATGTAGAGATGATTCGAGGCAAGAGTAACTTTAACGGGGCCTCTGTCTCAGGGTCATGCTTGTACTTCCCTATAAGTCCTTTGACATCATGATGTGGATCTTGGGAACTACATAAACCACATGCACAAGCGTTTCAATACAAGACACTGATATCGGAGAGCACAACGCAAGTATAACCAGAGCCAAGCATTTTGCATAAGATGAGCTGATTCTCCAATCACTACAATTGTAAGGACTCAACTGTCTTGAATATGAGTATGACTGGAAAATCAAAAGAAAACTCATTAATTTGGTTACATAGTAAGCCAATCAGGATAGTATGCAACGTACAAGTTAGCAGCCAAAAGCTCCTCCTTCAATGATCCTAAGTTTCCAGATGGGACATAGTGTGTCCCGAGGCCTACAAATAGTGCATCGGAGGGAGTAGAAATCCTCTTCCCAGTCAATCCAAGATAAGCTCCTGGAATAATCAGATACCGGTCAAATCTAGTGATATGGTTGAAAACAAAGAGGGATGGAACAACACAAAAAGGAACCATACCAACTGATCCTTCTCCGGGGCTTTGTGCTGCTATGTATGAAAACCCTACATCAGGAAACAGGCCAATTCCATTTTCCGGCATAGCTAGAAGCGTCTTCTGTGAATTCAGAATATCAGAAAAGGAGTCAGAAATCATTCTCAATGTCATAATACCAGTGGCCTATTTCTTAAAGGGAAATAGTACCTCTGTTATAATTCGGTAGCGACCATGGCCAGATAGACCTAGTCCAAACCCCATTGTTATCCCATCCATAAGAGCTATATATGGTTTCTTATATGCAGCGATTTTGCATATCAGAGAGTATTCTGCAGTGAACACCTGAAAGAAAATGCAATTGAAGCATGTGCAGCCATGACAGCAAAAACTGAAAGTTTACAAGTAAACAAATCCACAGTTTATGACTTTATTCAAAAGTTGGAATACAGATGGATCCATAATACTTGACCAGATGCGTCGGGTCTGGCAAATGGTTTTCACACATTATTCATTCATGACAAGACTAACTGGTGCCAACAACATCCTCTACATTATTGAAAAGATTGACTAGATGAATCAGAATTAGTGAGACATAAGTGTCATACTCCACAATTGGTGAGACAGCCAAATCTAGCCAAGCCTTAATTTAAAGTAACAGGATGAACACAACAAGACCTCAATCACGTCGGAGAGTTGTTTTTTTGTTGTAATAGTCTTCACATCACCACCTGCAAATAAACTACTATCTTTGTACTTGAATCCACTAAAACGAATGCTAAAAACCATGAACCAACAACAAAACCAGAAAAAGGCAACACAATTAGAAACAAAACGAAGCTCGTAACAGCTCACAACACAACCACGCAAACAGAAATGAAACAGAAAGAAATGGTATTTCTAAAGTGCATAAAACACCTTCTGCACAAGAGGCGTATTTTTGTCCTGGCGAATTTCAGCAACAACCCCTTTAATATCCATTCCTGCAGTTATCATACATTGCCACCCTCAAAATCATCCCCCAACATACAAGAAAATGAGATTACGAGACTGAACTGAACTGTAACTCAGATTCTCAAATTCACTAATACCCTGCATAAATTCACAATCACAACGAGTCTAGACAAATGCCGCTTTCGGTATAGACATGGATCGAACGAAGTAGAGTTTAACCACACTGTACAATCAATCCCCTATCATATACCTGCACAGAAAGCGCGAGGAGTGCTGCCTTCCACTAGCACGCACTTCACGTTCGGATCCGCCTCCCATTCATCAAGGAAACTCTTGTATCTAATGTCCATATCTGTACGAGGACAGAGCTACACAATTAAAACTCGACCTAAGCAAGCTCATCGACATCAAAACTGGATCAATTCGACTCTTCACTGTCCAGTCAATTCGTGATCAGAAAACAACTAGTTCAACGCGAGCGAAAGAGATGACAGAGAGTGAGAGAAGAAATCGGATTACCTAGGTTCATGGCGTTGAGAGCTTTGGGACGGTCGAGAGTGATGACAGCGACGCCGTTGGGATGGATGTTCCCCTTGACGAATTCGTCGGCAGCCGACGCCGCCATGGTCGCAAAGCTTTGGGAGGGGAAAAGAGAGGCGGAGTTGCAGGAGAGGGAGAGCCGGAGTGAAACTTGTCGCAACGGGGAAGCAGAGGAGCGAGCTGTGACGAAGAGAACCGCTGATCTTGAGAGGAGCTGTGATGCCGAGAAGAAGATGCTCTTCATTTCTTTTCTTTTCGTTTTTTACCTTTCGCTTTTATTCAGTCACGGAAATTTTTAGTAGACAGACAGTGAAAGTGGGGGACAGAAGGGAGAGACGGAGTGGAGGAGAGAGAGTTGAACTGTGACGCACGGCAGCGTGTCGCAGTTTAGTGATGAGAGAAAAGATGGGCCTCGTAAAATATTAGAAAGATGGGCATGGAAATAGATTAGAAAGATGCAATTAGTGTGGATTTTGGGCCGCATGTAGAAAGAGAGCGAAATTATTGGGCTTAAGTCCGAATGGAGACAGAAGCCTTTTTTCACTCAATAAATCTGGATTTAGGGTTGGGGTTGACATTTAGGGTGATTTAGAAGTTGCGATTGTTTTATTGAGATTGTCATTATGCATGTATTGTTTACAATGCATTATTTTTTTTGTTTTTTTAGCAGAAACAATATATGGATTGTTTCTATGATGTGACAGAAACTATCACTCATTTTGAGTGATTATTATATCTCAACTTTTAGTTGTGATTGTTGAGATAGTTGAGTTGAGATTGTTTTGTCTCAGCTTTTAGCTGATGCGACATACACAATCACACATACCAAACGTTGTATTCTACAATGCATCAAATTCGACAATACATGTACAATATTATACATGTATTCTCAACAATACATCTATTTAACAATCGCAACTTCCAAATGAAACGACCCCTAATCAATGCAATTGTGAGGATGTGAATATCTACCATATTTTGATTTTGAGCATTGGATCAACAATCAAAGAAAAAAATGTTAGGAAACTTTAAGAAAGGGTTGGGTCAAAGCTATAATAGGTCGCTAGTTTTTCCCCTAACCCATGATAGCAAACAACGGTGGAGCTGAGAGAGGGTTGTAGGCTTGTAGCTCTCTCTCAACTTTGAAATATAAGTAAAATTACATGTAAATTTGGTATAAATTTAGAGATTAGAATAGTCAATAAGACTTTAGCCCACTCCTCCTCAATACCACAATTCAAATCAGCCCGTCTAAATTTCTAATTTTGATAACAAAACGATTGTCGACTGTGTAGATGCAACACTCACTATAGTATATATAATAATAATATGAGTCCAATTAATTGGCGTCATTGTTACACAAGTACAAGTAATACTGTATACAATTCACGAGTGCGTAATGGAGTAGTTAGGGAACCACTTTCCACTACTATATATTATGTACTTCACTTACTTAATTACTTACCATAACGTTGCTGTCATCTACTTTTTGCTGTTACGTAATTTGCTGGAATCTTCGTCGGCTTTTGGGGCAGCACAATAGTAATAGTATATATATCTCTGCTCACGTTTGCTGGGTCGTTGGGTTCATTCATTCATTCATGTCGTCCTTTTGATATCGAGAAGGGGCGATTTGTCTTCATTCTCAAAAAGTTCTTACGCAACCGCATTGAAGAGTTAGCTATAACGGTAGTGCTGTTTTATTTTTTCTTCTGATTATTCATTACTTCGAAGGAAACGTATACCAGTCCGGATAAGCATGAGAGCATGGCAGAAAACAGAGCAAGCTATTATTTCCTTGTTTGTTTGTTTGTTCTTCTTTTTTAATTGAAATTAAAGTAGGACAGGCTATTTGGTTCCGGACTGTTTGGTTTTACCCGAAACCGGACCGTATAATTCGGACCAGGTCAAGACTGGACCGGATCAAAACCGGACTGTATCCAATCCAATCTTTGATCCTTATATTCCCGAAAAAGACCTAACTGAAACCGGATCAATTTGGTCCAATTTAACCGGACCGGACCGTATACCCACCCCTAAATCAAAGTCATAAGAAGCAGCATATTCAGACGTAATAGTCAATCAATAATCAAATTATGTAGGATAGGGTTTTTTGTGCTACAAAAAGTAGTATCGTTAAATCAACGGAGAGTAAAGGGACTCGTAATGAAGTTAAATAAGAAAATAACCAATAGATACCTTCCTGAAGGACTCTGTCCAGATCATTAATTATCTTGAAAGGATGGAAGAAAAAAGGAGTAACATCTTCATGTTGCTTATTGGTGATCGAGTTAACACTTGTTTAGTATAGGCCGGTTGCATCAAAATGAATGCGATTTCGATCCAAACTATTCTCTCTGGAAGTATGTATTTTTTCGAAGGAAGATCAACTTGTTTTTTTCTAGATCTTCACTATGTTAATTTTCAAATCCGATAGATGATCAATAATCGAACTACCGATGAGAGGGCCTTTTATGCCACAAGATGAAAACCTTATTACAGCAATGAGGTGCATGCGTATGAACAGAAGAAACCCTCGAAGCTGTTCGAGAATTGTCAAACATCTTCCAAGACATTACTACCCCACAAAGTCATAAAAGAAAAACAGAAACACAAGAAAACAACAACAAAAAATCCATACATAGAATCCCCCACACTCTTTATCTCATATATAGACAGAGAATGAAAACATTTCTACATATCAAACCCACAACATCAAATCCAAAACCAAACACAATCTCCCTCTCTAAAATCCAATGGTAATTAAGTGATCCCAAATTACCCATGTAATTCTACAAACAATCTCCTAGGATGGATCATTATTTATCTAATACATCACCCATACCTTGCTCTCTATTTATAAAAAAAAACCCTAATAAGTAATTAACAACAGAACACACAACCAACCAAACACACCCCAAAACCTTTAAAAAAAAAAACAACCCAGCTAGCTAGTATAATTAAACATAACATATATATAACTTTATTGTATAATGAACATTCTGATCCAATCCTTTTGTCAATTAGCTTCAAACCCAAGAACTCCACCAAGCACATCGAGCAACTCATTCGGTGCGGTCAGATGAGGGAAATGGCCGTCAGTATCAACGATCTCCACCGTCGATTTCCCCCTGATCTTCTCCTGGATAAAGTAAGCCACCGACGTCGGCACTGCCACGTCACGTGTCGTTTGCACGATGGTGGTGGGAGTCGAGACCTTTCCCAACAGCTCCCTATAGTCACAGTAAAAGACAGTTTTAGCGACGGCCAGCGCCACCTCCGGCCTGATCCGCCGCAGGGACCCGGCGAACTTGTCGACGGCGGCGGATGGCTGGTCCCCGCCGACGACCATCCCGGCGAAGGCCTGGGCCCAGTTGGGGAAGTTGGTCTCGATGTTGTTCATTAGGTCCTCGATGTCCGACCGGCCGAATCCTCCTTCGTAGTCGTCGCTGTTCATGTATCTGGTCACAAAAAATTATAATTCGTCACTATAAGTTTTCCCCCCTTTCTAGATTTTATTGAAAATTTATTAAACCAACATGAAATTAATAAATTGTTAGATACCAATCTATCCCAAAAAGGTAATCTTCCCTCGTCAATAACTTTTTGATGTGCTTATAAGGGATTATCGTATCAATTAAACTTATGAGTTACACGATCCTACGATGTCAAATCACAGTTATCTAAATCTCATTAGCGTGCTACGGTGAGGTTGTTGTAATTCAGTACGAAATTATTTTTAGTCTTTTCAAACTTTAAATGATGATAAAAACAATATTATTTTCATTAATACTCAAGCCACCGTAATAATGTAAATGTTTCTCCCACATGCAGTATTTTTTTATGGGCATGTATCGTTTGATATTGGATCTTGTAATATGCTGTCTAATTACAAACAAAGAGTAAGACAGAAGAGATGGACGTGATAACGATAACACCTCAAGCCAGCGCTGATTTGTTAAAGAAAATCAGGCCAATGCTCAGCTTGGTATAGAGATCAGCTAAATGGCCAGAGCAACTTCCAAATTTGTTCGGCTATGGCTCATTAATTATAGGGAAGAAGAAGAATCCAGCAAACTAAGAAAAAGTTTACATAGGATTCTAAATTCAGGTACGGATTTGAACAATGATAATTGAGAAGGAGATAAAATCATACCAATTATTAAAAATTTTACATGTAATATTACATATAATTATTTTAAATTTTTTATTTTATTTTATTTTTTCTAATCTTGTGTGCTCACCCTTTTATGACACTAATAAAAGCAGTAGGCCAGTGACTGCCCTACCATAGTTAAAAAAAAAATTATAATCCATGATGAATAATATGCAACCTATCAATCCCATCCACGAATTTAATATTTAGGTTATTATCACAAATAAAAAAAATGTCATGTACATTCTTTTATTAATATTCATAAAACCCAGATGAGAAAATCAGCTAAATTTTGTGGCCGAAATGGATCTTTTTCACACACAATAACACAAAATAAAATTCAATTATTTATGGACCAGAAAAAAAGGGCCAATGGCCCAATATATATAAATAAAAATGGATAAACATCAAAACCAAACACGGCCAAAACCCCACTTTTGTTATTATTCTAAACGAGAAAGGAGAAGGGGGGAAAAACGAAACAAATAAACATTAAAAAAGTTTGGGTACCAAACCGGAACATGTTTACTATTATGGGTACCTAGGAGAAGCGCCGACGAGTACGAGGCGGCTGAAGAGCTCGGGCCGTTTGACAGAAGCAATGCATCCGACCATCCCGGACATGGAGTGGCCCACGAAGACGACGGACTCCAGGCCCATCTCGTCGATGAGCCCAACCAGGTCGCTGGCGAAGCCCTCGTACGTGGCGTACCTGTCCGGGTCGAAGAAGTTCGGGTCCTTCACGGCGCCGGAGAAGCTCCAGTCGAAGACCACGACCCGGTAGTGGGCCGCGAGCCCGGGGAGGACGTCGTCCCACGCAGACTGGTCCGCCCCGTACCCGTGGGCCAGAACCATCGTCTCGCCGCAGTTCGGGGAGCCGATACTTCTGGCGTTCATGGATTCTCTCAGGCTGGTTTGCATCACCATGGTTGGGAGAGAAAGTGGGAGAAGAGAAGGAGGTTTGTGGAGGTGGGGAGAGATAGAGAGAGGTTTAATGTTTGTTTTTTGGGTTGGTTGGGGGTTTGGTTTGGTGCCCCTCTCTTTTTATAGGAGGGGAATGGTCCTTTGTGGTGGTGGTGGTGGTAAAATGGAGGATGGAGGGGGAGAGAGGAAGGAAGGAAAAGGGACTTTTTGGTTGCTTTTGTAATTTATTGATTTGGTGGTTTGGACTTTCTTTGCACATCATAAAGGCTATTCAAAAGGTTGAAATTAATAACTAATTACAATCCGATTCATAAAAAAAAATTCATCAAGGTAAAATTTTTTTTATATAAGGGTGATATAGGTTTTTTTTGTGTGATTAAGGTACTACTTAAGGGATTCGAACCTGGGACCTACAGGTTCTAGACTAGTGGTTACACTATTACCACTAGACCAAGCCCTTGTTCGTCAAGGTAAACTTTATTGATAGGCAAATATTTGGATGATATATATTCGTCTTTGTGAGTACCCAATAAATTTATAAAGATTTTTTTCTCTTCTCGCAGACCTCGTTTTAGTAGCATGTAAAATGTTTTCAAAACAAACTTATGAAAACATGCCATCTGAGCATATAAACAATAAAAAAATACGGGTCTTTGGAATGGTATGTGAGAATCCAAGAGTATATCATATCAACCTCGATACTCTATCACCTAAACTATCGTATATGAGGTTATTCTGTTAAATTATTAATATACAATAGTTTGTTTGAAATTACAAATGCACCGCCTTAATGAAATCATAATTGGCGAAGATCACATTGATCAAAGTGATTAAATAATTTGTTACATTGGTTGACATGTTTCTAGTTTTTTAAATAGTACTCATTTGTACAATATATAAATTAAATTGCCTCAAGGCTAGCTTTGGGTACTAACATTCCAGGTAGTTTCTTTTTTATATTAATTTTGAGTTCTCTATTGTAAAAATCGACAAACCTTATAAGTATATTACAAAAAGAGTGGGGTTCTTGAAGTTTTCAACAAACAAGGAAATTAAAAAGTGCTTGTTCATCTTTTTCCATCTTAACTTTTTGGGTAATTGCAGCCTCCTATAATTCTGTGTTACCTGTTGTCGTCTAGGGTAGGATCACATGCATGGCATTTGGGGTTCTTTTGCCTTTTTCCTCCACAAAAAATGGTTAATTAATGTCTCTGCAAGTTGTAATATATGAGATTATACTAATTGAATGATAATTACCAATTAGTAAATCTGTCTTTTTCTCTCCATGGTTGAAATCTTAACTCACGGTAGCTAAGGATGGGCCAAGATCGAGTCTATCCATACTAGATCGAGCCGTACAAAATCGATATTCGTATTGAATAAAATTGGATGAAATATATTTCGATTTCATTTCGATCTTGTGAATTATCTAAAATATGAAGAAAAGTCTATCGAATCTGAACTTGCACTGAATCGAATCAAATGAACCAAACAAGTTTTTTACCCCAACTTCAATCCTCATTTCTCTTTATTTTTTGTTCCTTCTTATCAAGATGATTCTTGACAAAAAACTGACCAATACCCACCCTTAACCGAAATAGCTAGTTGGAAAGAGCTGACTGAATAGTCATCGTTGTAAAATCGTATCGTACCGACGTTCTAATTGGAAGAAAAGAAACCCCATCTATCAGAGATCAAACCGAAAGACGATTTTACCAGTATAAAACAATTGTACTACACTATAAGCACAAGCTATCCCTGATTATTAATTTTTTTTTTTTCCGATGTAACCTCCAATAGAGTTTTACAACTTCTCGCGCGGAATAGTAATGTTTGAGATGAGATGACGAACACCACACTGCTTTTGTAGAAGTTAAAAGATGAGTCAAGGATAAATAATAGACTCCCTCCGCAACCGCAAGGCATGCAAGCGGAAGGCAGGGGAAGTGGTTGGAATTTATGGGGGCAGTTGGGATAAGTAAAGGCATAATTTTGACTTCCATTTCCATCTCATTAACGTATCGTACGCTTGTAATAAAAGCATAAGTGTTGTTTTCACTAGTGGTGAGGTGGGTGATTGCTTGTCCATGTGAATATATCGAATTTACTTCAACGTCAGTCATTTATTGATATTGTGTGATCATTTGTAACGAGGAGTTAGATACTGTTGTTATCTTGTTGGCAATGGATACATTTAGCAATATGCACAAGAAAAACTTGGATAAACTGTGGCGATATGGTGTGCATAGTGGGGTCCTCCTGGATCATGGTGGGGCGCTCATCTCGGGCATGGCTGTCCATTTTTGGGGGTGGATGACCCGATGATAGTGAAACTTTTGGCTCTCTGTGAAGCGATTCTGTGGTGCCGCTAGAAAGGTTTCCATATGGTGCGTTTTGAGGGGATGCTCAAGTGGTGATCAATAGGCTAAATCACTCCCAGGCTCAGGATAGTCGAGCGGGCGCCATCTTTCAGGAGGTGCTACGGCATTTGGAGGAGCATGTGGGTTTTAGTGTTCGATTCGTAGGTCGGCGTAATTATAGGGTATCTCATTTGGTGGCTAGAAAGGTCCTTTCTTTGTACCCGATAGCGAGTCGTTCATATGATTTTGTGGCCTGATTGAGGCACATGATGTAATGATCTTTGTTTTCTTATCAATATATGATTATCTTTTGTCCAAAAAAATGGTGTGCATAGTGGATCGAAGCTATCTATAGTATAGCAGAGGTTATAGCAGTTGCGTGTTTATTTACATCTTCAAAATATCGAGAAGTTTCGGGATGAAGGTTAGAAGCCCTATTCTCAAAGATTTAATGTAAGTCCAGCTCTAAAAAACTAAGCAATTTTCCCCTGGAAATAGGATGAAAATTTACATTTGAATGGAGCGTGTCAAAAATCACAGAAACATCGAAGTCTATCATGTACCAAAGTCCTGGATCGTGACAAACGACGGAATGTAAGCCCCGGTGAAAATTCCAACCTTCTAGACAATTTGATCATGATCGAGATTAGGAGTTCGATGTTACTTAGCCCTGTAAAATAGAGTTTAATCATTTCACATCAAAAAAGAAGAGAGGGTCCGGGTTTATAATTTGATCTTTAGTTAATTAGGATGACTTCATTAAGACCTAAGCGTGATTATGCAACATTATTAAGATAAATGAATAGTAGTAGTGGGGTTTATTTTAAGTAATTAAAAAGGGCGGGACCCAGCGCAAGTGGAGGGGGAAGCATTTAGGCGTGATGAGAGGGAGGTATCAGGCGACTTAAAAAGGACCCATTTGTCGTTTTGTGGTTAGAGAATAAGTCCAAGACCTACCTTTTTCCGCCATTAACGATCCTGGGGCCCACCACGTTCGCCCAGCTGATCATAAAACTAACCACTTTTTTTTTCTTTTCTTTTCTTCGTTTTAATAGAATTCATTTTACTCTTTGTTTGTTATTGGACACATTAGGCTTATTATTATTACTTTTAATCATAGAGTCTAAAAAGATTTGTGTTAACCTCTATAATCATGTCTCGGTCCATAAACAGACCATCAAAATAAGATTTCTTCAACCTCTCCAGCAAAAAAATTCAACCCCTCAAAAAATATAGAAATCGTTTTAAAACTCATAAAAAATAGTGATTTAAAAGCTATAATCTTTTTTTTTTTTTTTTACAAAAGATAATCTATCATTGAATAGAGAAACCAGATAGTTACATCCTGGAACACAGCCAGGCCTGAAAATCAAAGAACCGACTCGCAGTCGGGTACAAAGAAAGGGCCTTCCTAGCCACCAAATGGGCTACCCTATTGCTACCCCGACCTACAAATCTAATGCTAAACCCTGAGCAGTCAGCCAAGTGATGAATAATTTCAGCAAGAATAGCACCAATCCGACTATCACTAGCATCCGCCTGGTTGATCTTGTCGATGACGACCTTGGCATCCCCCTCAAAACACACCTCCACAATACCACGAGCCCGGCACCACATGATGGCATCCCGGAGCACCAATACCTCAGCCACCAACGGATCATCAATACCCGGGAACTGGAGCCCCTCAGCCACTTGGATTACTTTAGTCGGAGACAACACCACAAATCCTCCAGCCGAATGGGACCCCATCCTCGTCGCACCATCCCACATGCAAACCATCCTACCCTCCCCCCCCAAAGATGGGTGAGGCGGTGGAGATACCGTGGATCGAGGGCCCCGATCCACAGGCAGCCCCACCCACTCCTCATACTGCTGATTGTATTGACGCATTAGCGCAGGGAAGTCGAGCTGCTTGCCCTCAAAAACAACCCAGTTCCGAGAACGCCAGATACGCCAAAGGATAGCAACCACCGCCATGAGGACGGAGGGTTGTTTAACCAAGGAGAAAAGCTATAATCTTTTCAATTAATCACCAAACCATTTAAAAAAACTTTATGCACTAAAACATAAACCGCAAAAGGGAGAGAAATGAGAAGGAGAAGTGTAAAACGAGAGGGAGAGAAACGAGTACATCTATTCTTCTTTTTGGTTTCGGAGTAGAATCACTATTAGAGAAACAAAATCAATGTATTTTTATTATTCCCCTTTTTTGTTCCTTCTTTTGTGGGAAATGAGTTACTGGAGATACATGGCAACTTTCTGTTGCTAAAAACTCTCCCTTGTACCTGTATATTAACGTTGTACATCATCAATGGAAATCAAGTCAAATTTCCATAACAACTTCTATTCTAAAACTCCAACACTCTGTTTGGGAAGAGGGGTAAATGGGAGGAGGGTGCAAATGTGAGGGGTAAACACAGTTTCCAACACATTTGCACCTGTGTGGTTAATTTGGAACAGTAAGGGGGTGTAAAACAGGAGTGCAAATTTACTGTTTCGGCTTACCCCCGAATTGGGGTGCAAGGGAAGGAAGGAAGAGAGGGGGAGGGGGAATTATAGAATTTTGTTTTTCTAATTGTGTTATATATAATTATATAATAATTAATATTATCAATTTCTTCTTTTTATAAATATCATTAATGTAAACATTATTCGGGGTTGACCAATTGACTCTGGAAACAAGTTTATCAATGTTCGTCAAGTCAAATCTAGATTTCTTGGTTGAATCGAATTTGCATTGAAAATTAGAGATATGAGGTGTTTGTGGAAAAGATAGAGAGAAATTGTTTGGTTAACTCAGTTTATTTGACTAAATAGTTAAAACTTACAAATTCGAACGTGTTTGAATAAGTTTGACAATTTAAGATTAAACTAGACACGAAAACCCTATATAGGATGACCAGTTACGAGTTGAGCTTCGAGTTTTGAGATCGCTCGATCAATGATTACTACAATTTTTATAATTAATTATTATTTGAGCATTATTATATAATAACGATTTTTAGTAAAGTATATTTTTTATTATATAGTAATATTTATTTTATTATTTTATGATAATATTTTATAATCTTAAAATCTATTTTAAAATCTTAAAATCTATTTTAAAATAATATAATTACTTACTTTTCACTCTATTTGCACCCCATACTTTTTCATCCAAACAACAATTTACCCCTCCACTTACACCCCCAGCAATTTGCACCCCTAGCAATTTACCCCTCAACTTGCACCCCTGCAATTTGCACCCCTTGTTGCCAAACAGAGCATAATAGTCACAACCTTTTCCCATAGTTGGTCTCGCGAGCTAAGAATTCTGACCTTTTAAAAACAAAGAATCAATGGTTGGCTAGGAGGAAATGAGGAGAACAATGGTCTCCTTCTCTCTTTCTTATTTCATATTAGGGGAGGAGGAAATAGGGATGGCAACGGGGCAGATCGGGGGCGGGTACATGCCTCCCGATCCCCGCCCATACACCTCGACGGATTTCCCCATCCCCGTCCCCGGCGACTAAACGGGGGGAGATTGGCTACCGTCCCCATCCGCCGACGGATTCGGGTAACCAACGGATCCCCACGAATCATGGTCTAAACAAAAACCAAACACTTCCTGAATAATACACTTGCATTAAAATAGTAAGTTGATGGTCAAGCCACCGAAATAGAAAACAAAACAAAGAAAGATCTGGGGCTGTAACCCATATCCCACCACCCAGCACCCAGATCCTAAAATTCAAACAAACAAACAGGCTGCAGCAAACAAACAAACCGCTGCAACCTTAATCCCACCACCCAAAACCCATCAATCATGTTCATCATGCTAGTACTAGTGTTGAAACTTAAAAAAAAAAACATAAAATGAAAAACAAAGGCATTCAGCCTAATCGTTCAGAAATGATAAAATGAAAAACAAAGGCATCCACGCTGGAGACCAACTTTCCTCGACCTCAACTGATTTGAACAACATTCCTCCTTTGTCACAAGTTCCATTTGTTCTGTAAGAAAGAAAACAAGTGTTAGAGAATTGAAACTATCAATAAAACTCATCAATCATAAGTATTGTGCTACTGATCACTAGTACTTTACCTTTGCACTGGTTTTTCTCAAACAGTCAAACTATCAATCATCTAGGGATAGTGGACCACCGTTCATATTGCCAAGTTCCTCTTGTTCTGCAAGTAAGGAAACAAAGGTGTTAAGAGAATTGAACTGAGATTAACAAGGAAACGAATTGAAGAAACAAGTAACTTACCCTCTATTTGATCTTCAGCACTTGTATCTGCAAGTGCTAGAGCTGAAAACAATCCTTCCATTGCCTCAACATCAGCCTTTGACTCTGCAAAAAATGAAACAAAGGAAAATAGTTAGAACAATGAACACTCGAATAAACCAGAAAGTTCAGTTGGTGCATATTACCTTGTTGCATTGAATCAATGATCCAATTACGAGTACACATCATTGCCTCCACTGTATTGTAGTGAAGCCTACTCCGGTGAGGGTCTAATAACCTCCCACCAGAGCTGAAAGCAGATTCAGAAGCCACTGAAGTGACTGGAATGGCCAGGAAATCCCTTGCAATTGCTTGCAAAGTGGGGTACTTAAGGCCATTAAGTTTCCACCACATCAATATATCAAAGTCCTTAGATCGTTTGGGAATAAGATCCTCAAGAAGATAGTGATCGAGCTCAGTATGAATCAGAGTAGTTTTGCTCTTTTTCCTTTGACTCACAAAGAGCTCGAAATCAAGATCATCACTTACAGAACTAGAAGAACCACCAGAAGCACATGAAGAACCAGAATTCTTCTTCTCAGCCTTGGTTTGGTAGTCAAGAACCAAACCACAAATACATTCCCTTATCTTATCAGCCACCAATGCAGTATTAGTGCTGCCAAACTTGCCAGTATAATACTCAACTACATGCATCTTGTATCTAGGATCAAGAACCACTGAAACTGCCAGAACCACATGTACCTCATCCCAGTACTTGGCAAATTTCTCCCACATGCTTTCAGCCATACTAGAGACAAGAGTATTGGAATCAGAACACCAATCCAGCAATTTCAATCTTAAATCACAGATCTTGGGGAAAAACAGATTAGCAGTGGGATACTTGCTACCAGAAAATAGCTGAGTAATCTCACTGAAGATTTCAAGCTTCTCAATGATAATGGCAGCAAACTGCCAATGCATACTAGTAGGGACAGTATTGTATTGACTATCCCTCTTTCTCAATCGAGAGAACACATCCCTGTATATAATAGCAACAGACAACATATCATAGGTGGAATTCCACCTTGTAGGACAATCAAGCACAAGTTTCTTTGTACAAGTCACCTTAATCTGTTTAGCAGTTTCAAAGAAGGTCTGAACCCTCTTAGGTGTAGAGTTCCAATACACAACACTCTCCCTAACCAAATCAATGCCATCCCTGATGACATCCAAACCATCTTGCACAATAAGATTAAGTACATGAGCAGAACATCTCATGTGAACCAGCATACCATCCAACAACAAATCATCCATAACAAGTTTGGTTTTCAGATGGGTTATCATAGCATCGTTGGTAGTACAGTTATCCAAGGTAATAGATGACAACTTGCTATCAATATTCCAATCAATAAGACACTTGAACAACCTGTTTCCCAGCCTCTCACTAGTGTGAGGAGCAGGGACATAAACAAAACGTAGCATCAAGTTTCTTAGCTTCCAAGAATTGTCAATAAAATGACAAGTTACTGCCATATAACCCCTCTTTTGGTTGGGTGCAGTCCACATATCAGTGGTCACTGCAACTCTCCCAATATTACCATCAAGAACCTTCTTCAAATTTGCCATTTCAACCCCATATAATCCCATTATGTCATTCTTCACTGTACCCCTACAAGGCACAGTGAACTGTGGTTGCAAAGAACAACAAAAACGTCTGAACCCCAAGTGTTCAACAATACTTAGAGGATATTCATGGACCATAATCATTGAGCACAATTCCTTCCTAGACACATCAGAACTGAACTGAGAAGCAGATAGCAGTGGTTTCCCAGTTGGTTTATAATCAGGACCCAAAACTCTCTGTCTACCATCATGTATCTTTCTTTGGGTACAAGTTTTGTAATGGTGCCTCAGATGGGAGGTTCCATTACCAGTATCACCACCAAGTCGTTTTTTACAGTAACGACACTTAGCCTTAACAACACCATTAAACTTCACTCTAACAAAATGAGGCCAGACATCAGAAGTCAACTTCTTATCTTCCTCAAGAATGACTTCACCAGTTTCAATCCCATCAACCAAATTAACAGTACCATTACCATTACCATTACCACTAACATCAGGATTTAGAGAATTAGGCACAGGAGGATCATTTACATTCAAAGCATCATTTGCAATTGCACCATCCATCTACATAAATGAAAAATACAATCAATCAATCTTCAAGACTCAGACAGAGCACACAAGCAAAGCAAGCAATCGACACATGCAAGCTACACATACAAATCATAAAACAGGGCGGATTTAGAGTCAGTCTATGCCTAACCTGTAAACTGGAGAGGTAGGATTTGTCGACCAGACTGCAGATGGGGAGTTGATGCCTGATGCCCTGATGCGAACCTAATGAACTCGAACAAGGCAAAAATAAAAACAACTTTGTGTTAGAGTTCATTGAATGATAAAGACCAAGTTAATAAACTAGGAAAATTCAAGTTTTAAAAGTGATTACCTCGACTGTGCTCTGAGCAGAGTGAAGGTAATGATGAACGAAAGAACTTAGAACTGAGGTTGCCTCTGACCCTGAAATCAATCGACATGGTTACTATATATATATATATGAAAGCAGAAGAAGATGGAATAGATAGGAAAACGAAAGGAAAAGGGAGAAGAAGCTTATCTTTCATCCGTGATGATATCACGCCGATTTCTCCCAATAATTGCGAATCGAAGATTGCAAGAGGCATTTTAGGGGTTTGCATGTTGTTTTCCGGCCAAATCGGCGGCAAAACAAGCCTCCGATTGGCCAAATCGAAGGATTAATGATTGCCTACTAGCGATAAACCAGTGGATGAAGAGGATTTTGTGGGGAATCGGCGAAATTTTGGAGCTAAATCAATGCTCGCGTGCTTGGGTGGAGAGAAATAGAGAGGAAGATGAAAGGAAACGGCGGCAGTCGACAGGCAGAAAGAAGAGGAAATGAGGGATTAGGGTTTCTGGGTCTTTCTTCGGCCTTTTATACCCATGTGCCAAAACGGCGTCGTTTTGTGGACGGACGGGGACGAGGAGGATAGTTCTCGATCCATCCCCATGAGTAACCCGCTTCTGACGGGTTTCGGGTATGCCCGAATCCGGCAATTCCCCACTGCGGCCGGTTATTGAGACCCCCGTTGAGTCGGATTTCGGGCGGGTACCCGGCGGGGCGGCCAGGGTTCCCATCCCTAGGAGGAAAAGAAGAAGAAAGAGCAAGTGAGCGAGAGGTTAGATCTATGAGGGAGAGGAGTTTGAAAATTTCAGAAGAGGGGTCCACAAAAAGAGTTTGACTTGGCTTGATTAGTGGCTGATTTTA